AAACCTATCATTGAAGACAAGTGCGCAAACAGTTCCGCTTCAAATTGGGAACCACGGTCTGTAACAACATGCAGCGGAACTCCGAATCGGGACACCCAAGTGTCGAGGAAAGCAGAGGCTACACCTTCCGCGGTGATCGAGACCAACGGCACGGCCTCGACCCAACGCGTGGCGCGATCGATGCATGTCAACAAATAACGAAATGGCGCGGTGAAGGGGTGCCCGTGGGGTACTGACGGTGGCAGCGGCCCGACTATGTCTATATGTACAGTTTCGAACCGCTGTGAGGGCACGTCAAACCGACCGGGCGGAGAACGAGTGTGCCTGTGCACCTTGGCTTCCTGGCATGCTTCACACTCCTTCACCCATCGCGCAATGTCACGGCGCATATCATGCCAGAAATAGCGAGAGCTGATGAGACGGGTGGTGCCTTTCCTACCCGGGTGTGACAGGCCGTGGAAACGATCAAACACGGCGCGCCTGCATGCCTCTGGTACGTACGGGCGTGGATGTGGTCCAGTGTTTTCACACAGGACTGTGATGTCGCCAGACAGTGTTACTGGCTCCAATCGGGAGGGGTCCTGCGGGTTTGAGCGCGATCCTGGACCTGACTCGGAATCCTGGTGCTCTGAATCGGCACTGCCGGCGTCTCTCTCCTTTTCCTGCTTCTGAGCCGCCGCGATAAAATGGAGGTCACATGCATCGAGGGACACTGCATTCACCGGGCGACTGAGACAGTCCGCCACCACGTTGTCACTGCCACGGATGTACGAGACCTCAGTGATGTATTCCGTGACGACACACCAGTGGCGCTGTTGGCGGTCAGACTTAGCCGTGTGCGGGCTGTGAAAAGCGCGCACGAGTGGCTTGTGGTCTGTTCGCAGGGTAACGTGGCGGCCTTCGATCATGTCACGAAAGTGGAGTGTGGCCAGATAAGCCGCGAGTAGCTCTCTGTCATACGCGGCGTACTTCTGTTGGGCCTGACTGAGCTTCCGTGAAAAGAAGCCAATGGGAACGGGTACTCCGTCCACAATCTGATGGAGCGCGGCACCCACCGCGACTTGTGATGCGTCAGTGACGAGCTCGTACTGCTCGCAGTGTGGCACTGGGTGTGGCAGAGTGCAGGCGCCAGCCAGCGCCGCTTTACTGTCACTGAACGCCTGAGTCTGTTCCTCTGTCCACGTCAGTTCTTTGCTTTTTGGATTGAGTCGAATCAGTTCGGTCAGGTGGAACGTGACATCGGCGAATCGCGGAATCATACGCCGGTAGAAGCCGATGAGTCCCAGATAGCGACGCAGTGACTCTGAGTCATGCGGTAGGGGGAGGTCCAGAATCTCCTTCACTCTGGCCTTGGGAGGTGTGACACCTGTGCTGGTGACGTCATGACCGAGGAAAATGAGTGACTTCTTCATGAACTCGCATTTCTCCAGTGAGATGCGAAGCTTGTGCTCTGCCAGCTTGCTGAACACGAGGCGCAAATCTTTCTCATGCTGCTCCTGGTTCTCGGAAAATACCAGGATATCGTCAAGATAGACGAATACGCACGGCACGTCTCGGAAGATGCCGTCCATGACCCTCTGGAATGTGGCACCTGCGTTGCGAAGCCCCATTGGTATGAAGGCGTATTCGTACAAGCCGAAGGGCGTGGTGACGGCCGTCTTCTCTGAGTCAGCGGGGTTCATAGGCACCTGGTGATATGCACGGAGCAGATCAATTTTGCTGAACCACTGAGCGTTGTGGAGCTTGGTCGAGAGGCTCTGAATGTGCGGCAGTGGGTAGCGATCCGGTTTGGTTACGGCGTTGAGTGCGCGGTAATCACCGGTGACACGCCACTCACCAGGGGTACTCTTCGGAACCATGTGGATGGGCGAGGCCCACGGGGACCTAGACGGACGAATCACTCCTGTTTTGAGCAGCACATCGAGTGCTTGCTTTGCTGCGGTTAGTTTGTCGGGCGGCAGCTTGCGTGGGCTGGCGAACGTGGGTGGAGCGCTGCCGGTGTCGATGAAGTGAGTGGTTTTGATTGGCGAGTCTGTGTAATCCGGCTGGTTAGGGCCGAGAACAGCGGGGTGATCCTCTAGGATGGGCCGCACTGCCTCAGGCACCTGAGCGAGATCGTTTATCACCAAATGAACAGACTCCCCGGTCGTCGGTACACCGGGAGCAGAGAGCAGAGTGGTGGAGTCGCGGAGAACTTGGGAACCACAATCGACAACCAACGAGTTGTGAGCGAGAAAATCGTTACCGAGTAGTGGCTCTGTCACTTCAGCCACTACAAATGTCCATGTGTAACTGCGTCTGAGTGTGGGGAGGACAATATCGAGAGTGGCCTCGCCATGCACGCGCAGTGGCTGCCCGCTGGCAGTCGTGATCGAAACAGCGGACGGGTGAATTAGAGTTCCATTCACATAGGAGGGTGGAACCAGGGATACACCAGCGCCAGTATCCACGATGAATTTCAGGGGCTGATCATTCACCTTGGCTGTTACCCTAAGGAGCGGCAGGCCGAGGGCTGCGTTTACGGCCTGCTCCTCTCGTTTCCCGACTCTGAGGCTGCACGGGAGGGAGATGCAGCTCGTGAGGACGGCTGCATGGTCAGATCAGCAGCTTTGTCGGGCCAGTGACACCATGGCTTGCAAGTGCGTGCTCTGCTGCCGAAAAACAGGTGAGCACGGCATACTTTCGGCTTCTGGTCAGGGTGGAACGGCGTGAGACCGAGAGACGCCCTTGAATCACGAGCAGGGGAGTGTGTGGCGGCTCGGCTCTGCGGCTGAGTGGCCCTGTGGTACTTTGGGTGCTGCTGAGCCACAAAGAACGCCTGTGAGTCGGACTGTGGGTCCTGATCCTGACAGTGAACCATGTTAGCAGCTGAGTTTTGCACAAGAGGCATCAGTTCGTCCGCGAGTTTGCCCAACTGCGACAATGAGAGCTCGCGCTGAGAAGCCAGGGCTGTTGCAATGCCTGTAGGTAGCGACTGGATAAATTTGTGCCGAACGAGATCGTCTCCGACACCAACCTTGTCGGCCACCTCTCTGAGCTCGCTTAGAAAGAGTGAGGGGCGGCCCGTCAGACGCGTTTTGCTGATCAGTTTCTCAAACATCTCTGGCTTTGTCTTTTCGTACATGTCAGTGACGGCTGTCTGTAGCTCAGAGAAATTTTTGTTGCTCAAGACAGCACGCGGAATGTGCGAGATGGTTTCCGGAGGCAGGGCAGAGAGAACGTGGTAGAATTTGGTCTGCGAGTTGGTGATTTTGGCAATGTTGAATTGGGCGTCCATAATAGCAAACCAGCCGTCAACCGCGGTGTCCATAAAAACCGGCGGCTTGATCGAGACATGATGGACCGGCTCAGCATGAGCGGGTTCCATCGTGCCCTCGTTCGTCATGATCGTTAAAGTGTAGCCGGTGTTTGCAATGCACTGAACAATTAAGATTTAAAACACCGAGTGCAAAATCTAAAAGAGCCAATGGAACGCCGAAATAAAATCACCGAGACGATAAATGCCTAACTAATCACACGGCGGAGAGATGGCACAGAAACCATCATGGAAAAGTGGCGCAGAAGCCACTGTGGAGCGACGGAATAGCAATCCATGTGGGGGAATAATATAATTGATTCGGGAATGAGCGGAGGCGACAACCCGGAAGTATGGAAAAATCGAACAAGAATCACGTCGGCGGTCACCAATATGTGGTGCTGTGGGGCAGTTCACCACATATCAGTGACTGGATTTTACGTTAATCAGAAATGGAGAATATCAACCTGGTGCGTGTTCCAAAAATTCAATAAGTTCGATCCAAACGGCCCCAAGTAAAAGAATTAATTAAAAGAGCGGGTTGTTATATTTAAATTACCAAAACGAAGTCAAAAACCAAAACAGCGAATCAGACAATGGAGCGACGAAGAGACGAGAATGAAATCCAAGTTTGCCAAATATGCCCTGCCTAATCTAAGTTATAAATCCCGGACAGAACGGGCCTAATGGAGCCAGACGTGACGCGTCTGCTCGGGTCAAGAGCATGAGGTCACCATATTCGTAACGGCTGATGAAATTGCATACGCTGATTCGACTGGTGGTGTTTTCGTCGCAATCGGCTCTGTAGTTCCTGAGTTATAGAATGGCTGCAATAGGCGTCAATGCCGAGTTGATCTCTTGAGGTCACCAAGGTCATCTGGGGTCACGAGCTTCGAAACGGCTGATAGAATCGTACCTCCTGATTCGAATTGTGTTTCGTTCGTTCCGATCGGTCCCGCAGTTCCTGAGTTATAGAATGGCTGCAAGGGTGGCGGTCGAATAGTGTTGGTTGGATCGACCCCCACCAAACACGATTTGGTAGCACTGTAATGACGCCTGCTGGGCGTGAAGTTTTCCCTTCACCATAGGGTTTACACACAAATTGATCAAAGTTTGAGCCAGGATATACTAGTCTAAAAATGCAAAAAACGAACAAATTTTGGCATCAATAGATTCAGCAATTCATCGTGTGCCTCAAACCGTCCATCATTTGGCCTCAAAGGAGGTTAAAATTGTTCAAAATCGAAGTTGAAAAGATGCTTTCTGAGCACATTATCTGGTAGCAATCACGTGACCTGCTATAAGCAGCTTATCGATAATTTACAAACATAATTATTAAAATGCTGCTTTAAACAACATTAATCATACATTTTGAGCTTTCAGTACTCTAAATAAGGTCAAAACATCGCAAAACACAAAAGTTAATACAATAGTCACGTGGGTGTCAGGAAATGTCACAGGTGCGTCAAATTTGTGACTGGGGCTTTACTTTCAAACATCGGATCTGCCTGTTTTTTATAGGTATCCTGGGTTGGATGTCCCCCAAAAATGGGCCTGTCTTGCAGCAGATTGCCAGGCAACGTGCCACAAAACCGCATTGGTTTGATTTCAACTACAAGTTGCCTAGCAACTGAAAAGGCGATGAACACCATCGGAAATTCATCCTCGGAAAGGCAGCCGCCAATTTGAATTTGTTGTAGGCGCTGTTTTTGTAGCCTGTAGTAGGTGTGTGCAAGGCAAAATTTTGAATTGTTTCAGACCTGAAACACGTTGCAGTGTCCACAATATATATACGGGGTATAATACTTTCTTGTTCCTTTTTTTGTGCACTTCTGTAGCAAAAAATTCTCAGTTTGTAGCAGTTGAGTTCAGTTAGGTACTGTAGCAACTTCACTATCTCAATCTTGATCTCTAGCAAAATACCTCAAAGTGGCTTTTGAATCTAGTGCCCTGTTTCACCGTGCTGCACCACGCTGCTGCTGGCACGCTGCTAACGCTGCTAACATGATCAATGTTCACAAGCTGACATGTCATGACGCCATATTGTTGACGTAACTTGTAGTTCTGGCGCACAATTGCCGCAACATTAAGTGACGTTTTTAGCCTAAAAGTAAGACTTGATGCAGTCAGGATAGTATATTTATTATTAAAATATATTTTTTGAATATGTTGTTTTTAAAAGAACCAAAGACTAAAGAGCATGGCGTGCTGCTATCACAGGTGAAACAGGGCCTAGGTGAAACTTCTTTATACTCTGGGTGAAACGCAAGGGCTCCGCCACCGGGACGACTGAGTGGTGTGTCAGTGTCCCCCAATATTTTACATTTTAACATTGCCTATGGGTGCTGCATGGAAAGAATAAACTTCAAACGGCCTTTGTCCCCCAACCATCGGATCGCTACAGAGCCATTGGTGAAACTTCAGATTGAGAAACTGTTTATAGCAATCCAAATGCTGCAAAATGTATAGTAACTGCAGTTAAATTAAGGCAGCTATCCAAGCGTCAGTGGCTTGGGTGGCATCAGGCATGGGTTCTTGGGTTTGCCAGTTTCTAATATCTATTAAGTACCGTAAAATGCGGTGTTAAGGGACAGTTTTGAGGTGTTTTGTTATATAACTTAAGAAGAGTTGGAGATAGAAGCTCAAGCATAGCATCAAATTATCAGAATTTTATGTGGAATGTGGTGCTTTACATGCCTGTTACATTCAAATTTTAAAAATACATGCCTGCATATTATTTTTTATTATTTTTCTTCACTGTCCCTTAGCACCCCAATGTGGGGTGTTAAGGGACACCTATATTATTCCAAGAAATGGTCATCAAATGCCCACATTGGGGTGTGAAAGGGCACACATTTTGTTAATTGAAATGTTAGGCATATTCTGTCACGAAACAAGTCAGGCTTATTCACCACTAGGTAATGGCCTTTTTAGCCAATTACATGTAATGCAGTTTATGCTTCTGGAAAATGTGATAATTATAAGGTAAATGGAACAAAAAAGTACCCTTCTGTCTGCTGTCATGAACAAAAACCCACGTTGAAGCTAGTTACTTGTCATTATGCTGCCCTCTTTGTTTTGACATTTTTATGATGACAGATCACATTATCTACATCAGTCTCCATTGACCCATCATTGTAAAACAGTGTTTAGGGAGTTTTAATGTGTTTTATTATATACCACTTGAGATGAGATGTTAAGAGATAAAAGCATGAATTTGCCAACATTGTATGTGGAATTTGGTGATTTCCATGCCTACTGAAAGAAAACTTTATGAAACTATATTAAGATATTATTTTTATTTTTTCTTTTCTGTCCCTTAGCACCCCACTCCCACCTCAAAATATGCATGCATCTGGAAAAGAGGAAGAGGATGATGAATGAATGGGTGGATTTGTATAGGTTTTTCAGGAAACATGTGCAATACATGTGACAATACACCTATGCATTCATTTTCCCTGTACACCTACTAGTTTCTGTGGTACCTACACACAGAGTTTTGGAGATGTTTCAATTTGGTGAAAGTGTAGCATGATTTTCAAAACCATTTTTGAACCAAATCATTTGCATGAAAAACCATGCCATTTTTTCCTATAGTCAAGAACAAAACAGTGGCAACTACCACACTCAAGTTTTTATTTAACCTTCACAAATAAGGAACTTAACCCTCGCCCTGGCAGGGGGGGGTCGATGCGACCCCCCCCTAAGGTTTTTCGAAGATAGCGTAAAAACGGCGGCGCGCAGCGCCGCCAAATTTGGCACAGCCTATGGGGCAGCCTTTTTACATATGACCTGAAAATTTCAGGTCCGGGTGACCTTGGGTCAGGTCACCAGGTCAGAAAAACCGGTACAAGGTCATGGTCAAATTTCAATTTTCTTTTTGCACCTGTCCAACTCACAGTTTTGCACTGATTTCCTTCAAACTTTCAGGATGTGCTAAGTTCACCGAGTTGTATAACATATAGTTCGGGTTTTTTGAGGTCACTGACCTGAGGTCAGTTAGAGGTCATTACGTCGTAATGTTGAGCCTATGGGAAAATACTAAATTCGGAAAATACTGAAGATATCCACTTCATTCTATCACTTTTGTGCTTTGAAACCACAGTACTTAACAGCAGGTCACTTGGTGCTTCTTTGTTTGGTGTACTTATCCATGGGTCAGGTCAAATGAGGTCAACTGAGGTCAAATGACGTTTTTGCCAATAACTTGGCACATAATGACGCTAGAGCTTAAAAAATGGTATCATTGTGTTCCTGGTGATCAGCCGAATCGAATGATATGCGATATGATGCAATTTGGTTAACTTTAACTTAATTTATTAATTTAAGTTTACTTAAAATTTAAGAAAAACTTTAAGTACACTTAAGCAAGCTAAAAAGTATATCATTCGATGCGCCTTGACGTGCTGAGCTCACTGGTGCTTTTCTTTTTGCTCTATCTTAATTAGATCAAAAGTTATAAGCGAAAAACTTTTGACCTGTTTTTAGCGAAATTTTTACATTTATACCCTCCAAAACCCCCCTAAATATTGACCTAGAGCAACCAAATTTGCACAGGGGCGAGAACTCCAGGGGGCCCACCTACCTACCAAATTTGGTGTTTCTAGGTGCCATAGGAGCCAATCGCGAGGGGGGGGGTCGCATCGACCCCCCCCCCCTGCCAGGCCGTGTTATGAAAAATGCCCTGCCAGGGCGAGGGTTAACATGACTCAAAGTTTTTCCCACGCATGACGCAACTGTCCCTTAGGTAGCACCCCGCTGTCCCTTAACAACCCATTTTATGGTAACAGCAACAGCTGGGTTTACATAGGGATAGTTACAAGCTACAATCCTCTAGCCCTCGCCCGCACATGCCATTTTCCCATCCTAGAACGCACATGGGGGGGGGGGGGGTGGCTGCCACCCCCGCGCCATTTCGTTCGTGTTGGAGATAGAGCTTAGCGGTAAGGACCAAAAAGATTCTTTGGGAAGAGACGAATCCAATGATACCCAGTTTTACCTTCTCAGGTCAGTCATTGACCTTCCAGTCCAGGTCAGGTCAAACTAAAAAAATGTTGCTGTTTTGGGTCACCGTTGGATATCAAGCGCGTTGCTTATCATATACCGATGACGATACCGTTTTCTGGTGCCAAGCCAGCTAGAACCTCTTTGTCACCTTTGTCACATTACCCGACCAGGTTTTTGCTGCTGAGGTCATTTCAGGTCAAGTTAGGTCAATGTCAATGATATGTGTTTGTATGTCTGTGTGTGTCTGTGTGTATACTGATGTGTGCACCGATTGTTTATGTGTCCATATTACATGAAATCATGATCTGAGAAGCTTTTACCAAAAATGCAGTCAAAAACTTACCAAAAAGTAAATTCAGCTTGCCTAAAATGCAATTATCTTCGATGACCTAGGTTGACCTTGACCTTGACTTGGACATCTGTACATCGTCGAACATGTTCTATGATAGGTGGGAGGTAAGACTGGCAAAAAAGGCCGAAATCAAGGTGTCAAAAGCTCACAAGGCCCATAGCCAACGCAAGATGTTGAGAATTGGCCATTTGGGTCATGACATGACCTGAAAAACAAGGTCATATCTCCGAAACCAAAAATCATAGAAACTTGAAATTTTCAGTGGACATCAAAAAAGGATTGAGGAGCAGCTATACGAAAAATCAGCCTTCTAGCTCTAAAAATGTGTTGAGTGCAGAGCAGAAAGACTACCTGGGGGGGGGGGGGGGGGGTGGCGGCAACCCCCCCCCCCATGTGCGGGCGAGGGCTAGCTCTGTCTGTTCCCTGATGTTGCAAAACATGCCGATGATGCTTTGCAATTTACAAAATGAACTCACCTAAATATACTAAAAGAACTGCATCAAAATTATCACAGAAGAAATGAGCTATAGCCTTGACAAAAATTTTATGTAACCGGGCATAACTTCGTACTTTTTTAGTTGTGGTTTGTATCAATTCTACTAGGCTGGGAAACATTCATAATTCTTCTAGTTATAGTTGTATCAGAAGGTGTCTTTACCACAAACTGAGTTTTTTTTTTTGCTGTAGATTGATGACAAAAAGCCACAATCTCACCAAAAAAATACTTAAGATTATGAATTGTGATATACAAAATGCTATGGAAGTAGTGAGTTCTGCTACAAAAGTACGGCAATTGCCCCATTTTGAGTAATTTGCTACAAAATGAGCATTTTTTTGCTACATGGTTAAATGTAAGCCTATATATACAGGGTTACTTTTAAAGGGGGGGAAAGAGGGAATTTCCCCCCTTCGAAAATTCCGCTCCCCCTTTCAAATTGTGTCATAATGGCTAGGGAGGGAAGGGGGAATTTCCCCCTTTCAAAATTATTTGTGAGCCCATTTTCAATTAATTCGCTATTCAGATTCTCTTGTCATCGTTATTCAGATTCTAGTCATCAATTAACGTTGCTGGCGCTAAGATATTATCAATGATTGTGGGCAGTGGCACCGCCCGGGCGGAACTTAAAATATCCGGAACTCCAGATTTGACCCGATACCGATCGGATGGTCGGTGGGACCGTCTCTTGTCTTGTCTTTTCGCACTCACTCAGGGGTGAGGGGCGGATCCAGCAAAACTCTAAGGGGAGGGTCATGATTCGAAGTGGATTCAGCTCAACGTATTTCGGCCACTTAATTTTGGTGGTGCCCTAATTTCATTTTTTGGACCTGAGGTTCCACTGCTAGGCCGCAGGCATGCCCCTGGCAGGTTCGTGGTGCCGCTGGAAGAAACATGGTGCCCCTGACAAGCCTGAAGTGTCCCTGACAGGCCCGTGGTGTCCCTGACAGGCCCATGGTGCCCCTGACAGGCCCAATATGTGCCCATGCGAGGCCGGTGGTGCCCCTGCGAGGCCGGTAGTGCCCCTGCGAGGCAGGTGGTGCCCCTGGCAGGTCTGTGATGCCCCTGGCCCTGGCATGTCTGTGGGGCTCTTGCGAAGCCGATGGTGTTCCTGACAGGACTGTGGTGCCCCTGACAAGCCTGAAATGCCCCTGAAAGAACCGTGGTTCCCCTGACAGGCCCAAACTACCCCTGCGAGGCCGGTAGTGCCCCTGGCAGGCCTCTGGTACCCCTGGCAGGTCTGTGGTGCCCCTGGGAGACCTGTGGTGCTCTTGCTAGGCCGATAGTGCTCCTTACAGGGCTGTGGTGCCCCTGCCTGACAAGCCTGTGGGCCCCTGACAGGCCCGGGTGCCCCTGCTAGGCCTGTAGTGCCCCTGGCGGGCCTGTGGTGCCGCTGCTAGGCCGCTGGTGCCCCTGGGCCCAGACAGGACTGTGGTGCCCTGACAAGCTTGAAGTGCCCCGACAGGCCCGTGGTGCCCCTGCGAGGTTGGTGGTGCTCCTGGCAGGTCAGTGGTGCCCCTGTCAGACCTGTGGTGCTCTTGCTAGGCCGACGGTGCTCCTGACAGGCCTGTGGTGCCCCTGACAAGCCTGTGGTGCCCCTGGCAGGCCTTTGGTGCCCCCGGACTCCGGAGGGGGGGGGGGGTCATGACCCATATTTGACCCCCCCTGGATCCGCCACTGCACTCACTGGCATATCGGCACAGGCGTCGGCGTAGAAACCGGCGGGGGACGGGGGTCATGACCTCCCCGAATTTTATTCCCCCTCTCGACTTTTCCTGTAAAAGTAACCCTGTATATACATTATTCATATCTAGGTACTCTACCTACTTGCTTACAATTTGCAAATTTGGTTTTGAGTAGGATACTGACTAAAAATAAAAAAAAACTGGAGATAGGGCACCACCAAAATTACGTCGTCATTACCACGTAATTTAAACTCAACGGATTTTGGCCACTTAACCCGCGCCGGGCCGGGGTGTGTGTGTTTGAACACCCCCCCCCCCCACACACACACCTGCGGTTTTTCGCAGATATCTCAAAAACGGCGGTGCTCCACTGTTGGTGCATCTTTTCCGCACATGTTGTGAAAATTTCAGACCCAGGTCGCCTTAGGTCAGGTCACCAGGTCACGCCAAGTGACCTCACCTCAGAAAAAATAAGAATGCTCGTCATAGCTACACCGATTGATCGATTGCCTTGAAACTTTCAGCGATTGATTAGAGCAACATTATCTATAAAGTGTATATCTCGGAATTTTGGTATCGGTGACCCAAGGTCAGGTCAATTTTGCGGCCTCTACAGTCTCCATTATAACTCAATGGGAGAAAATTGAAAGGCGTCTGTTTTGCACGAACGCTATGCTAGACACTCGCAAACATCGAGATGTAGGTAAGATTGACACACTGAACCGGAAAATGGCAATTGTGACCTCTCGTTATGTCCCCGAGGTCATCTCAGGTCACGAACAGAATCTAACAGTTTTTCGCTAATAACTTCTGGTAGAGGCGTGCGAGAGCGCTGAAAACGCCTTAGATGTGTTCGGCTCGACGTTGTGGATCGACTGATTGCAACATGACCTTTTCCGGTCAGGTCATGACCTTGACCTGAGGTCAAATTTTCAAGTTGACCTTTCAAGGTCAAATTATAGTTCATTCGACGCGTCTCGACGAGAGGAACACGATGCTGGCAAAAGTAATGTCATGGCTCGTTTGAGTCAAAAGTTATTGCCGAAAAAAAACGCTTTTCGTAAAAACGGCTGTTTTTGGAGTTTTTTGCCCTCTGGAGGCTAAACCGTTGACAAATCTGAGAGCATTACTCAGAAAGGTCTGTAAGAGGGCTATCGAATGCGCTTTTCCGCGACGCTGTAGCTCTATCGGTTCCCGAGATAGCCGTCGGCAGTTTCCAAAATGTTGAAATAGTCAACATTTTACCTTTGGTGACCTGACCTTTGACCTGATCCAAAAAATGACCGAAGTGTTTTCGTCCTTATTTTGGGCGTTGTTTCGATTGCCGCTTACCGCGTGTCGCTACGTGGCCCAGGAGCTGAGTTAGAAGGGGGGGTTCAGACACCCCCCCTCCCGGCCCGGCGCGGGTCTGCGCCAACTTCTAACCGACCCATTGCTGATGTCAGAATTCACTGACCAGCGTTGAAATTACGCTCGTTGTTGATATTCAATGCCCCAAGTCACAGGTATTCACTATGCTGAGGTAAGGGCGTGGTTTGTCGAAAGCACACTTTGGCTGCCAAATGCAGATCTGCCGAAACCAACTGGCCAGATGTTGATTCGGATTGAACAAGGTGTACCTACTTGGTTTGTCATGACATGAAGGATATGATTAGATCTGACATTGCATGTTAGTGTTCTTCATTGGTTTTGTCAATCCTGACATTTTCTTCTTGGTATTATCAGAACAAAGATAATAATGATCAATTCTGGAATTATCTGTCTGCTAGTTAGGTAGTAGGTACATTTATCAAGTCGTTTGAGATAACTATAACAACAGCCTTTGCCCCTTTCAGATGGAACTGGCTCCTGAAGAAATGGATTCCCTGCGTAAAGAAATGAACTCTTTGCGTGAAAAAGTGAATGGACTGGAAGGGGAAATGGATGATCTTCAACAGGATATGGCGAAAGTGAGGGAGGAGAAGGCTGAGCTGCACCTGGAGGTGGCGCGCCTGCGACGGGCGCTGGTCGAAGAACGCACCGCTCGCCAGGTGGCTGTGAAGGAGTTGCGCCAGGAGGTCCGCCGACGGTCGGCGCCCTCCGACCGCTCACAGGGGTGAGACCGAGAGGCAGCAGGGATGGCACGGGGGGGGGGCTAAAGAATACTGGATGGGCTTAATTCGGTCGATGGTACGGTGCTGTGTCGGAAGTGAATACGTCTGGAACTAACCTCCTAATGACTGACCTCTGATTACGTCACACCACGTCACGCTGGCGTCATCTCGCCACAGTGACGGCGAGGAGGAGCTGGCGCCACTGAAGGACGACACTTGTGACAAGGGTGACGTCATCAGCGACTGTGACGTCATAACCCCATCTGCGGAGGAGGCGCCGCCAGCAGGCGGTAGCTTGAAGACGCCTGTGCCTAACATCTACCACCTGGACACCGAGCTGTTGAAGATGGTGCTGAGCAAGATGGACTGCAGGGAGATGTTCCGAGCCAGGCGGGGTGAGTGTCCCGGCGACTGCCGAGGTCCTACTTCACTATTACCTATGCACCAGTCGATGTGATGCTTTTCCTTAGCTAACAGAGACAGGTCAGTACTTTTTTATATAAATTTAACTCGAATGTTTGAATGGACAGACCCCGACCGAATGAATGAGACCCCGACCCTACGGCCTACCGTCCGATTGCGCAATTCCGGGTAACAGGAGAATTTAGATGTCAAAGTTTAACGTGCCCTTCAAAGCCGGACACGGCCTGTCTCACTCAACTGACTTCAACTGGCTGCGGCTGCTCCTACCAACCGCAGACCATCCCCGTCAGGAGTCTCAAATATCGAGTGCCGGAGCGACTCTTACCCGAGCTCTCACTACCGAGAGTCCAGCGCTCTCCAACTTTAGGGACAGTACTGAGGAAGTCTGGCTGGAAATTTGCACGTAGACGTAGGTAAAGGGCTGCTCTAGACGCGAACGGCCACCCTGAGATGATTATCACCTTCTTGGTAGAGTTAGAAACGCTCCCTGTACGCGATTTGACTCCGAAGCTCACCGCTGACATGCCAGCCGTTTGATTTTGCTCCGTCGGTGCCGACAGTCTGCCGTCGGTGGCGGTCCGCAGTCGACGATATCGTCAGCGACTGTCGGCGGGAGCTAACCGATCAGCAAACCCGCGATGGAAAGGTCCCGGCGCCGGCCACGAGCCTGGAGCTCGTATTGAAGGTGCAGGACCAGCCGAAGATGACTGAACTGCAGGCGCCGACTGAAGAGACAGACACCGACCTCCGACTGGTCGGTGAGTCCTGTGTGAAACGCATTACACAGTACACACGACATAGTACGCTTTTTTGCCGCCGTAATTGTCATACATCGTTCTGACAATGTCATCACTACGGGGAGTTTGAAAGTCATGTGGCACGTTCATCATAATCAGCAACATTCGGTTTCTTCACTGACCGATTCTGTATTCCAGCGTCCACCTGCCACGCTCTGGAGAAGGCGGACCTGTGCGGCTTCAGCTCTGCGGGTCTCCGCCCTGCGGCGGCTGGCGCGTGCCAACGCCTCCAGTCTGCGTGAGCTGACGCTGCCGGCCGGTGTCAGCGACTGGCAGCTGGAGGCGCTGCTGGAGCCGCTGAAGGCTCTGGAGCAGCTCGATGTGAGCCCACCCGTGAACAGCACCGGCAAGTGGCTGCGGCTGCTGCCTAAGTCGCTGAAGAGACTGGACGTCACTGGTGAGAGGGACTGTGTCCTGGTGTGTTGGACGTGGAACGCGCGAGTTACTTGCGCTTTTGCGTCAGCATAAATCCTTTTAAGTTTTCGTTTTGTGAGTTTCGCTGTCGTAAATGATGTAGGCTTCTTATAAAAAGATGAATTGCCTCATAGTGACAACGGTGTTACGGTTGGTATGTGATTAATATTATGTGCATCTTCAAAGTGTTGATGATGGGGGATAATGTTCTTCTCCACAGGGTCGGGAGAGACTCGGGGACCGTTAAGGGTGTCGCAGTGGCCGACGTCTGGACTGGATGTTGTTATCCAGCAAGGCACGGACACACTCCTGGACCAGGTGGCTGTACTGGCGACCCGCACCGTCACAGGGCTGGCACTATGGGGTGAGCAGCAACAGCACGAGCTAATTGTCTCCCACGGCTTTCCCAGAATTACAATTGCCGGTATAGCGTGATGACTTACGAATCGGGCTATATTACCCGTACATACATAGTACATACACAATGTTCAAAAACTCCATAGCGACTGTGCAAAAATAAATTAAAGGGAAACTATCACCTTTTTCATTTTTATAATATTGCACAATTCGAATTTTAGAAGTCGTTCTGTGCAGGTTTCAGACTTACCGGATTCTTCAAACACGATCTTTCGATAAATGACTCCAAAGTCGCTTGCGAGTCTAAAATATGTAGTACGTGCGAAAAGCCTTCATCACTATTTTCATGATGGCCGACGGCGAAATTGTCACCTTGAATGGCGCACTTCATACATCTACCTATCACGCAATTTCCGAAGGCAAGCTACAACTTTAGTTTTTCAATATAAGCCTCACGCCCGTTCCACATTTAAAGAAAAAGGCAAAAGAATGATGCCAACACACAACCAAATACCTTCGTACCATACCCGAACGTTGAATCTCGTCAACCCGGCTTTGTTTACCTACTTTTGCGGCGTATCGATTCGCCGGGTCCAAAGCCGGGAATTCCGGCGTCAACGTTGAGTGAATGGTACTAATGTATTATTTTGTTGATATTCGGCAAAATCGTAAATTAACTTTTGATTTGAAGTTTCGTAGAGAAGCTCCGATTTCACGCGATTCAAATATAGTGATAGTTGAGGAATCTGGTGGGTTTTAACATAAAAATAGTACAAAAAGTACGTGAAATCCCAATTTCAACATTAAATTACTCGTGACTCAAACCGAATTTCGAAAATCTGATTTCAGTTTCGTAAAGGGGAGTGCTGATTCTACCAAATATCAAATTTTGTATTTTAGCTGACAATATACCTTTAAGTCTTGCTGCACGCCCACTCGAAAAGTCTGGAGGGGAGGGGGCAAAAAATAGCCCCCCCCCCACCAGGGCGCCCGGCTGGGGTCCTGGATTTCCATGCCCTACTGGGGTGGAGGTAGGGGGGTGTCGTCACCGATAGCCCTTGGGTTAAAACGCGCTATCTAGGGACATGCTATAGCCTGTGCAGCCCTGATCCACGATGTATTTAGCGGTTTCTGAAAAGGAAAATACATTAAGCAGACTGCAGGTGACGTGCGCGAATTCCGTTGGTGGATAAATGGGTAACTACTGACATACATGGAAATGGAAGTTTTAACAAAGCGAAGCAAGTAAAGACTTTCAGACCAAGGCCATTCGAGGTCAGATCACCAGGCCACTTCAAGTGACCGCAAGTCATAAAATGTTTCAATGTATGCCATAGCTACACCGATTGACCGATCGCTTATCGCTTTCAAACTTTCAGCGATTGACCAGAGCAACAGTGTGTACAAAATTTATATCTCGGAATTTTTATATCGGTGACCTAAGGTCAGGTCAATTTTCCGACCTCCCCATTGTAAGTCAAAGGGTGAAAATTCAAAACCGTTTCTTTTGGAAGAAAGTCATTCTAAACACTAGAGTGTATCGATTTGAGGGTTTTTATTCCAGATTGAGAGGAAACTGTCAGATAAAGTGGCGCTATATATTTGTAAGTAAGAAAAACACAAAATCGGTGTCCTGCGGTCAGTATTCTCTGGTCCGCGCCCACTTCTTTGAGACCATCTCGCCGTAACACGGGCTCCTATGGGATAACCTACTAGCGACATCTAGAATTGTAGGTGGCGCTAGCGTCGGCATGACGTTTTAACACAGTTTGTGGTGTCTGATGCTGATCTTACTCACTCAATAGCGTTTGTTTTCCTTAATTGCCCATAATAATTTGTTTCAGACGTCTAGTTTAACAACTTCAAATGACAGAGGTTCCTTTGACATACTTCATAGTATAAAATAACAAAACACACAGGGAGTGTGGAGTTTTAGCTACACATGTGCCTATTTTGCCCTAGTTTTGCTCTCGGCTCTCGGCCTAGGCCCTGTTCTGTCTGGGGCAGATCGAAACCTATCTTATACCTTGGTGTGTATAGGAGAGCGTTACATGCGTTGGAAGGCTTGAATGGACTTTGAATGCCCATATATGTATCATTATCATTAACAGCATCAAACCGCATCTATGCACTTTTCTCCTACGCTATGTTTTCGTGCTGTTCTCATGTCTCCTGTTCTATGATCACTGTATGTTTGTCTGGGTCACAAATGGCCATTGCTTTTGAGCAAAGTAATAGAAATACCCTAAAAACTAAAGTGCATTGCGTACACCAGTGCCTATCGCGCACCAGCCCAGTTCACCGTCAGTTAGCAAAGAGCTCTTCATTTAGTGCCTGTGACGCTTGAAACGGCTGAGCGGCAACAGAGGCAAAGTGTGTACAGCACATGAGTCAAATAATAGGATTCTGGATTATGTATGAAAGCAATGGTGAAAGGTATTTTATTAACTCGGTTGGCGCGGCGGAGAAGGACCGACGTAAAAGTCGGTCTCGTCATTGGCCTCGGCAAGTGCGCCGAGCAGGGCCCGAACGTGAGCTAGCTACAGCAGGGGTCATATCACGGACTGGTTGACAGTCAATCTGTGCCGGTGACCGGGCTCTTGCATGTGATCCTGTATTAAAACACCGCAGACTCACGAGTCCTGGTTGACTGTAGCCGTCTCTCGCATGCGGCAGTTCAGTTTGGTAGTATGCCTATTCCACCTACATAGACGCACCTGTTCGGGTACAGATAGTGCGCTGTTCCGGTACAGACGGCACCCGTTCCGTGCTTCCATCCTCAGGATACTGAAATCCTTCTCCTCCACGCCGAAACCCCCTCCGGGCTGGACAGGCAACTTTATCTCATGCGGGCTGCTCCCTTGGAGCGGTACCGCGGCTCCCGAGGGAGCGCACCCCGTAGCCGGGTGCAGTGAGTACTTTGGGGATGGGTGGCCTGTCCTCTGGACGGGCTCAGCCCCGGCGACCCATTAGGGTGCCTGCCCAGACCAATGTCACCCCCTAATTCCTATCATCCTTCCGGCTCTGAAATGGTCTTGTCGGACCGAAAGAGCCTAACCCAACAAAACAAACAAACAAACAAATACAGACGGTATCGCCGGGTCTCGAGGGGACCGGTGACGGCACTGTCGCCGCCGTTGGTCGCGGTGACACGGGCGGCGGGAAAGTCACCGGACCTGCACCATAGTACGGTGAATGGTTGGGCCTTCGCCGGCAGTAACTATTTATTTGGGATGCGAGCTGTATGTAATACTACCAGCGCACGATATTCACCGTCTTCGCCGCGCGGTAAGAGAGGAGCCCACGGCAGTCCGGTAGGATAGGCTGAGTTGTGACAAGTTCTACCCCGAAAGTGACCACCTTTGGGGCACTGAGGGACCGCTTGACGTGGCCACTCGTCGGTTTCGGTTTCACCTACTGGCTACTAATTTTAACAGCAGACGTTCGGAGACTGCTAAGTGGGTTTGTTCGTTATGCTTGGTTAGAGCCTATGGGTTAGTCTATTCGAGAACATTTTAGGGCCGTGGTATGATAAATAAATGAATTAGCGGGGAGAGGGCAATATCAGAATAAAGTCGACCATCGGGCACCGGCTGTGTGCCGCAGCGTCTCAGTCAAAAGACACCATAATGGCTGCAATGCTCTGAGTCAGGCTAAATGCTGGGATGATAAAACACGAGAGGGAGAGGGCAATGTAAGGTTCAATCAACCAAGGCTCAATCGGTTCAATCAACCACTGACGACTAGTCCGCTGTACCGCTGGGACGGCATTTCAGCGCCGGGACATACTGTTTTGACGGCAAGTCACAACGGGACAGACTAGAGCATACATTTGTTGAAATGGTCACTCCGAAGCTGACTTCCATCGGTTGTCTGCTAGGCGGACCGTTAATCCGGAACACGGAGAAGTGCAAGCAAGGATGATGGTGAATTAGTCGTAATATAGGACAGAAAGCAAACTGGCTCACCAGTCACCAGTTACCGAGCACCTGACCAGTGTCCACTTTGACATTTGGTCGCTGGTAACACAATTGTACCGGCTATATGATGTACATAGTCCTTAAAGTACGATGCGGCAGGAGCTCAGTTGCTAATAGTTGCCTAATCTACTATTTACTTGTTCGTGTTTAGGAGCTCAGGGCGCTAATACATAGGTAATGTGTATTGTGTTATGTGTGATAATGTGTGGAAAGCTATGCGTTTGCAATGGAAAAACACTTGCAATGGAAAAAACAGCAATATACCAACACCAATGATGTAAAAAAATGTGCATAATTTAATCCGAATGGCTTTTTTACGTTTACAGATGTCTGAAATTAAGCTACAGACAGTCTGGAATCACTGCCATCTAGCGTCAAAAGGGGAGAACTAAAGCTTCATCCTACGTCCGCAGCAGTTGGAATGGGGTTTACAAAAACCGTTCCGGGTCAGTCAATTTTGAGTTTTGAGGAAAATGTTGCGCCCAGATATTATTTTTACGTCCTTGCGCCAAATAATATGCCAGTTTCCTTGCAAATTTCGGTTATCGATACACTCTACTAAACACTCTCAAACACTGAATTGCACGTAAGTTTGACACACTGAACAAAACATTAGTACCTGTGACCTCTCTTTATGC